GACTCATTTAATTGATAGTGGTCACCAAGTGGACAGAAGTAGTGCCTTCAAAGTTATCTATCGCATTACATAGAACCTTTCGAATGGAATTCGAATCCGCCTTTTACACATAGCTGAAGTTATGGGAATGCGGGAGAACACTCCAAGTCTTTGCATACAAAAAAGAAGTTTGTTCTACCTTTTTCTCTCCCTCGGTCTAGATAAAGTCTAATTAAAACCCTCACATACTTTCTTACTTCCCATTTCCTTCGTGGATTTATGATATTTTTTAATTCATGGAAAATTCTCATTTTAACATATAGAAAATCAAAAAAAGGGATTTAACTGAGAGACTCTTTTCAACAACGACTTTATTATCAAGCTGTACAGTCGGCTTTTACACACGGTTTTTAATAACTTACATCCGGTGAGGGAATTGAATCATAGGTGTGAATGCATAAAATAATAGTAATAATAATAGTGTGAAATGCAATTAAAACTAAAATGTTTGTGTTTATAATCATAGTTAAATGTCAAATGGCAAAGCAATTAATGTCATATTTGGCATAGTTCATAGGATCAATAGAACTTGAAAAACATGAGCAATTATAGGATTAGTAGACAAATCGAATAAATTCATGAATAATTCCCATTCGAACATTAGTAGACAGAAGACAAGTAGTTCAGCGAAGAGTCTCTTTTCGGCGAATTCATTTTCATAGCTGTACAATCGCAAATATATATGGTTATTTTTGTGTGTGTGTGTATACATTAAATTTGTCAAACGAAAATACAATTAGTAGGTTCAGATGAATTGGATGTTGATAAGAGGATAGCAACAAAAGTGATGAGTTGTCATAAATGATTGTTAAATAAGAGTTACGTAATGGCATGAATAGTTTGATGAATGAGTTGTGCTCAAAGGGTGTACATGGAAACAAAATAATATACAGAATTACACAAGGGTTTTAAGTTAGAAAAATAAGCATACAAACAGAAGTAAGGTCAAATCAAACAAACAAAGAAAAGTTAGGTCAAATCAAAGGAGTAGTTACCATGCGAGTAGAAGTGGTTGGATAATTTTCTTTTGTATGCATAGTTCTGGTTCCTCCAACTGGATGGCTAGGGCTTCTGCGATGCAAAGAAGACGGAATCGTACTGTCTTTGGAAGGTTGTTCTTCACTTTGTAGATTACTTTGAAGGAGGCGTTCGTTGAGATGGAATGACCAGTATTGACGAGATGTTCGATTATTGCACTCCTTATATGGCCATTATTTCCTTTCTGTAGCCACGCTGGATAGTGTTCTTTTACCCTTTTAGACAGGATGCGCGTTGAACGACCGATGTACCTGGCTCCACAGCAACAGGTGAACTGATATATACACATAGAAGTGGTCATGTGCGGAATCTTGTCCTTTGGGTTTCTGCAGATCAGCGGGCGACTGGAGAACACTATTCTTAGTGTTGCCGCAGGGAAAGTTCTTCCTAAAGAGGTGGAAATTCTCCTTCTGAGGACGTCACTAAATAGGTCTCCTTTGAAGTCTAGGTTCATATAAAGTATCTTTTTCGGCACGGATAGTGTCTCTTGCTTTTGGTTTTTCTGTTTGATGTTTTTCTCTACAAATCTTGGTGGGTAGCCATTTTGTATGAAGATTTCTTTCAGGAAGTTTAGTTCTTCTTCCATGGTGTCGGAGCTGCAGATGCGTCTGACGCGAGTGGCAAGGGATTTAATTAGGTTTCTTTTCCGACTGATTGGTACCCAGCTGTAGAAACTTGTTAATTGTCCGTTCCAAGTCGGTTTCCTATGGATTGACCTTCTTAAAGTTCCGTCATCTCTCCTTGTAAGCTGAACATCAAGAAAAGGGATTTTAGATTCATTTTCAGTTTCCAAAGTGAACTTTGTGGCTGGATGGCATTTGTTGAATATTTGCAGTAGTTGATTGAGATCGTGACCGTCATCACAGATGATAAAGATGTCGTCAACATATCTAACGTACAACTGGAAATTGTCGATGGTTGATTTGAGTGGGCCATTCTCGAGGCTTGCCATGAAGCAGTCTGCTAGTTACGTAATATTGTGTGAAATTTGACAACATAGAATTTAATGTTGCAAAACAGAGTTGATTTTGAATGACAAGTGGAACAAGTGAAACAATACCGGGGACACTTCGAGGTGAGAATAGTAATAGTAACAATTGATGTAATAAAGGAAGGGTATACAAACTAAATAGACAAAATGAAAAAAAGTGGTAGAGCCAAAATATGATTAGGGATTACCATACTTTAGCATAGAGGGATTAAGAATATGAAAATTGGAGGGGTTGAACGAACTTTTTCTATACACAGAGATTTGGCTTTTCTGTTTCGATAGCCAAAGATGGCTTCAGCAATACCGATGAGTCTGGTACATAGTGATTTCGGTAAATTAGTTTTTGCCTTGTAGATGACTTCTATGGTGGTGATCATTATCGACTAGATGTTCAATGATCGTGCTTCTTATTGCTCAACTTTCACCCATTCGTAACCATTCAGGTTAGTGTTCTTGCGCTCTCTTGGACAAAACTCGAGTCGAACGACCAATATAGCTAGCTCCAAACGAGCAGGTGAATTGATAAACACACATGGAGTTGGTCAACTGTGGGATCTTGTCCTTCAGTTTATTGAACAGCAATGATCGACTGTTAAAGGCTACTCTTTCTTTTCATGATATCGGAAGCTAAGTTATCTTTGAATTCCAGGCTCATGTACAGTATTTTCTTGGGTGCAGATGATAATCCACTTTCTATTAGGAGTTCACACAAAAGATTTAACTTATCCTCCACAGTGTCAGGGCTACATATGCGACGAATCTGAGTGGCAAGTGACCGAACCAGGTTTTGTTTTCGACCAATGGGTACCCAGCTGTAAAAATTTGTCAACTGACTATTCCATGACAGCTTTCGATAAATCGAAAACTCTGATTATTTGTCCACTTCACCTTTAGTATTACCCAACTTTTAAGATTTGATCTACATCATTTTTTGAATTGTCTCCATATATATAAACATTACTACCTTTGTTATCCTTTTCGCCACCTGAATAAACTTTAAAATCATTATTTTGTTATTATTATAATCATCGTCATTAATGACGTTCAAAACACTTGATATATATATTATTATTTTTTGATCTACAAAACTCCTCGTCATCCGTTAAATTTTCAATATATAATTCTATGTAATTTAGAGTGAAGCCTGAAGAAGATCCAATTGAAAACAACAATATTGTCCGCTAATATGTCTTGTTAAACATTGTTTTGATTAAAATAAGTAAACTTTAAAAGTGTCCAGTGTTTCAACATCACTCAACATTTAGGCGCTTAAGACACTAAAAATTGAATAATTTTTGTAAACTGCGTAATTATTATTAAATTACAGCTTTCTGAATTGCTTTCAAAATGTAATAAATAAATCTTAGAAAATCTTTGTTTCTATACTGGGGAAACGTCTGCTGAAGAGGAACAGAGTCTTTAGAGTGTAAATCTAAGTTTTCTTATGACGAAATATCAAGTATGTTAGGAAAACTAAAATCCTTTACAAGATTTCATCATGAGCTGACATAGATTAGAGAACTGTTAGAAAACCTGGGAGTATTTGGCAACTGTTTCGTCCTGGTTAAGGACTCTTCAGTTCGCCTTGCAACTGGAAGCTCTTGGATTTGAATCCCAGTGGGCAGGTACTTCTGAAGAGCCTCAAACTAGAATGAAATGCCTCTCATCCAACAGATATCAGTCATTTTTTGTTTCATTTATATTTTTGTCAGTTGCTGATCACAAAATGGGATCTCACTATCGATATCATAGATATGCTACTCGGAAATCAGGTGAATCATATAAAGTAGTTGAAATTTGATACATTTATACTGATGCAAGTCTCTCAGCTGGTCACCTCCACCTAGTAAGCACAACTGCTCGATATTAATGCATTTCCACTGTGAAGGCATATCAGTCATTGGTGTACAGCATCGATTTCCCCAAAGATATATTTCGTCATAAGCAGGTGTCGGTTCATCCAATGAAACCATTCCTTATAAATAACCACTAGGTAGTAGGTATCTAGTGTTATGCGTCTAGTCCTTTATTTTCTGCAGGCTCTATTCTGTTAGTCGTGTTTGTAATGTGGCCTCCATGCTAGGTAGCTCGACATCATAGTGCACTCTAATATATATTGTTATTAGATAGCTGGACCTAGTCGGAAGAAAGCACCGCCCGCTTAAGGTTTCGTGATTTTTGGCACCCTAACCAGTCATCAAGGCGTATCTGTAACATGATTACTACATTGGAAACTTGATGGATAAAATTCAGTTTGCACCAAACAAAGAACTAGACACATCACACTAGTCAGTGACTAACTTCCAATCAAAAAATCCGACACAGTACTAAAGGAGGTCAGTCGCGAGGCCAAATAGATCAGTGATAAAGTCTCTATCTGTAGAACTGATCAACGCGTGTTTGAATCTCAGAGTAGAAATGATTTTCTTCAATGTTTCAGAGTCGCTTTGCGGACTCATGAATGTCTACTAGCACGAAACCTAGATCAGGCGATGTTTTCTGCCGAATTCCATTGCTGTACAGTAGATGTATCTCAACACATTATTTATGTCTATTTACATGCAATATGCAACCAACAGCCAAGAAACGTATTCAAATTTTTTGATTTACAGAGATTTGGCTTCATTAAAAGAGTCACTGAAAATCAGGGAGTACTGAATCCCCCTTTTGATGCTTATTCAGTAGTACTCACCCGTGACTCCTACCAATGGACGAAGAACACATGACTTTCGGGTTACAAAGTGAACTCGCTGATCATTAAGGCTGCCTAACTAGAATACTACAATCAGTTTCAGTCACACTAGATTGATATTTAAGTGTTGATTTGTAGATACATGACTGATGAAGAATCCCAAGCGGGGACAAAACAACTTTTGTTTTCAATGATTCTTTAACTAAATACTGATTCTTATTTTTCTCTTCTCTTTTGTAGAATATTTTACCTGGTCGTGTATCTGGTAATGAAGCATGTCGTTCATATTTAGGAAATAGATGTAATCCAGTGAATGGTTCAAACTATTATACATGCACCTGTATTGGTGATTATAAATATTTACCAGAATATCCATTTTATAACTGTTATGGACGTAAAAGTATTTGTGATAATGTAAGTTAGTATAAGTTCTATTGATTATCAGTTTGTTTTATTTTTCATTACGTAATGTTATGAATTGTAATTATTGTAGTTATGTCATGTCGGTGGCACAGGGGTTAGGACTCTCGCCGACCATGCACATCGTCCGAGGTTCGACCCCCTGCCGACAAACACCTGATATCAATGGTCAGTCTGCAAAATTTGGGCTACCGATATACATGCTGAAAACTCCATACTTGTATCAAAAATACAGTGCGTGGAATCAAGCTGTAATCAAAAAATTAGAAAAAATAAAAAAAAATAAAGTAGTATCGAACATCTTTAGTCTTCATGATTGGAAAACATTCGAGTTAAAACGTCACTTACTGGTTTGATCACAACTTGACATCAGTTAAAAAGTCTTTAAAAACTAGCAAAGATTACTGGAACTCTTTAGCAGAACTCACCCATAGGGATTTGAACCCAGGGATTTCTGGTTGCAGGACTAGCTCATAGGCCACTCAGACACTTGGAAGCGATCCAATAGTCCATGTATTCCAAATTATGACAGTTCTTCATATATGTAGGTTGGCCGTCAACCAATGTCATAGACGAGTAGGTGATCTCTTATCTGAATTGGTGGATACTCCTGGCTGGCCATTGCTCTACGTATTTTGATTGGACACTGGTAACTAGTGTGACGTGTCTAGTTCTCTCTTTGCTGTAGAGTGAATTCTGTCAGTCAAATTTGAGCCCGAATAGCTCAATTGTAACGTCTCTGATTGAGGCACTGGGTGACGTGGGTTCAAATCTCAGAAGGAACATAATTTCCTTGAGGGTTGTAGATATGCCTTACTGACGAGTGCCAACTAGCACAAAACCTGGTTCAGCTTAGGCTTCCCGCCGATTGCCTCCAACTATCTAATATCATTGGTCTATGTATATCGCAAATTGACAGAAGTTAGAATTCTTTGAACGTTGGGTCGAGTTCAAGTGGCTCAATGGTCGACGAAATTGACCTGCAACCAACAGTTCCTGGGTTCAATCTCCAGTGGCTGCGTAATGCTAAAGAGTTTCGAACTAGGAGGAAACAGATATTCAGTACTTCCTGGTGGTTTTCTAACTGACGTCATCTCGTGATCAAACCTGTAACCAATCTAATATCTTCCAACCAACACTTAAAAAATTTGATCAACAAACAAATAATGTTTAGATGTCAAGAATATATCAATTGGTCGAGACCTTAAGAACTTACTGCAATAGCCACTGATGGTGTGGTTGTATATAGTTGGCATCCTGTTTAAATCAATATTATTATTATTCTCTTGGGTTCCAAGTGGAATATGGGGCTTATCTTCTATTCTCTGCTGTCCTCTTTATCCGGGTCCACGATTTCCAAAACTCTCTCATCTCTTCATCACCCAGGTCGCCTTCACGGGACAGTCGTACCAACGACTCACTCATCGCTTCCCATTTGGGTTCCAGTCGAGTGATGGCCTGCATGTGCAAGATATCATTCGCTGGTTTTCTCAACATATGCCTAATCCATCTCTATTTTCTCCTACATGTTTGTGGAGCGATCAGCTCTTGATTGGTTTGTTCCTAACCAGAGTTTCTTGTTACTAATTCTTCCTGGCCGGCCATTTGATCTTTAGCATGGAGTCAGAGAATGCAGCTGTTTATAAAAGTTAGCATCCTGTTGGAAACCCTTTTCGGTGCACGCCAGTCAATTTTCTGACTGGTATAGAAGGAACGACTTGACAGTGGTGTTGGAAATACGAATCTTGTTCCTTATGTTGAGTGCAGAAGATTCCAAAATTGGTTTCAGGTTGATGAAGGCGTATCTTACCTTTCAGATTGTGATATGCTTTGAAATCTTCATCCGTTCTACCTGTAGTTGAAATGATGCTTGCGAGATAAGTGAAGGAGGCAACCTTTGTTAAATCTCTCCCGTTGATGATGATTGGTGGGTATCTTATTCACCTCCGTCTTACCTATGTTCAATTGCAGTCCTTTTTTCGCTAAAACGTTAGCCAGTTTGATGGGTTTTCGCCTATGACATCAGACGTTTATCATCTACAGGCGAAGTCAAGATCTTCCAAAGCCTCTTTATCGGTGGTCCAGCGTATTCCTGACTCCTCGCTCCCAAGGCACAGTCTTCTGCATAATCCAGTTCACCACATTTAGGAATATTATCATTGATAATAGGTAGGCAGTTTTGTCTTACTCCTGTATTCAATTGCAGTGCTTCCTTGAGATACCCGTTGTGGATCAATTGACTCGTTTCAATGTCATATAATCAGCTTTTGAATAAGGTTGATAAGGACTTGAATTCTACACGGTGTAGTGTTGAAGTAGTTTTCAAATTGCGTCTCTGTCAACGCTGTCGAAGGCCTTTTCGAAGTCGATGAAGTTGTGGTAGACGTTGAAATCACTGGAGAACCTAAATGTCTATCTAGAGTGCATTTACTCTTTCCACCTTTTTGTTCTTTATTCTTCCAGTTTTTTCCTTGTGTCACAATATAAACTCCAACGAATGTTTACTTGGATCCAAACCTACTGATTTTTCACTTCAAGAGTAACTTTTTAAGCAGTACGCATCCACCGGGGTTCGAACATATGACTCTCTGCTTACGACGAAAACTTCTAAACCATTCAGTCGCTGGAACCAGGCAGGAAGGTTGTGGTTTCAAAACGCAGTGGGTGTTTACTCACTATGAAACTAAAACCAGAAAGAAATATATGAATAGAAATTGAATAAAACTACCATAGAGAAATGGGCCTAATTTCACTTAGAATGTTACTACCTAATATGACATACTGCCGATGAATATTTACTTGTAGATTCTAGACAAGAGGTATTGTGAGTAAACAGCAATTTCCAGAATAAAAAACTGTTAGTATTATTAATAATTTAGAACTATTGTCAATTACCTAACATGTGAGATAAACTAGTTTAGGTAATGTTTCATTGAATAACATGCATTTGTAACTATGCAGTGGAAATCAGAATGAAAACTAACTGCGAATGTATATTTTGAACAAAGCAAGAACTACAGTGGTTTTAGCAGAATAAAATGGTACCATCATTGTTTATTTCGTTGCCTTCTTGTCAGCTGCTTACATGGCAAAGACACTATTAAATATATCTACAACAACAATTTTAACATACTTGCACAGAGTTAAGTTTAAACAAAAATCAATCGATCAATATACTCATACACTAAAAATATATTATTATTATTATTGTATCCTTTAGTTTCTAGAGGAACATAGGGCTTCAGCTGCGTACCTCCATTGACTTCGGTTTTCTGACAACTTTTTCACCCTGCTCCAGGTCTATCCACATGCTTTCATCTCCTCCTCGCATGACCTCCTCCGAACAATAATAATCAAACACAATGGAAACTTTTAGCATTTCACATTCGGAGGAAAGAGAGGTGAAATTATCCAGTTAACAGGGCAAAGAAAGGCTGATAACCACTTCTTTTTGGACGCATAAATCAGGTTTCAGGCGCTTGATGGAAATGGCTTCAGCAAACTTAAGGAGAATTGAGCTATTTTGCTTATTGATAATTTTGAACGACTTTTTAACGTCCACCTCATGACCCGTGTCGAGAAGATGCCTGGTGATGGCACTGTTTAAAGCATTTGTTCCCTTTAGACGTAAGCTTTTTGGTACATGTTCAGAAAATCGTAGATATGCCCTTCTTTCTGTCCTTCCAATGTAACTGCTCCCGCAGATACATGTAAATTTGTATGTATATTTTCTTGGTATCTTAATGTATAAAAAGAAGTCATTAAGTGACAGGACCTCTATTATTAATATTACTCCTTTAGGTTCCGAGTGGAACATTCGGTTTCAGCAGTATATCTGCACTTTGGCATGTTCACTGAATTCCTCTTCAGCTAGCTTTCTCACAAGCTTCCTTCTCCTTCTCACATGGTCTCCCCAATGTTACCCTTGGATACCCAGACTGTTGCTTCTCATTTGGCTTCCAATCAAGTGATGACCTGGAGCTTGATGTCATTTGATAGTCCACTCAGTGTGATCCCCATCCACCTCTACTTTCTTTAGAATTTTTATTGAGAAAGAAGTTCTAAGTCGATAAGTTTTCGGCGTTTCTTGCTGCTAATTCTTCAGTATGATCTTCACTATGCAGTAGAGTCAGCTGTTGATAAACATCTACAGAGGGGCATTGGAAATGCTTTCTGTGATTCAACTGCCAAGTTTTCGACCCATATAAAACGGTTAACTGACTTAACATTGCCGCCGCAAATGTGAGTGCTTTTTCTTGTGCTTCAAGGTGCACACGATTTCAAAACTGATTTCAGAATGATGAAGCTTTGTTTTAACTTTCCGATTCTGGCTTTTACATCCTTATTCAAATCGCCTCTGTTATTAGTGAGTGATGTTTGTTGTTGATAACTGGTTATCTACGTCAACACCCGTTTCCCTTATGTTCACTTGAAGTCTGTAAGTCTTCGAGAGAGTGTGACATTAGACATTAGTCATCCGCAAGTCAACATCTTGTAGACTATTCTTATTGATCGCACGTATTCCTTACATCTCGTTTCCTACAGTCTTCTGCCTAACCAATCCGCTAGAGTCAGGAATATAATTTGCGGTTGCAGTCATCCTTTTCTTATTTTTCTTCAAAGTCTTCTTTAACTTTTCCGTTGTGGATCACTTGACACGTGACGTTCTCATGAATAACTGGTTGAAGGATGCTTACAAAAAATTTGGGCACTCCATGGTGTTGAATTAGTTTCCAAATTCCTCCATGGTTAAAACTGTTGAAGGTCTATTCAAAGTCGATGTTTTCACATAATTGTTATATTATTATCATTATTTTCCAAGAGGAAAATAATGCTTCACACGCACATCTCCATTGAGTTCGGTTCTCTGTCAACATTTTAACCTGACTAAACGTCTGCCCGCATGCTTTCATCTCCTCCATGTCACTCAGTACTCGCATTGATAACCAACTCGCCGCTTCCCGTTCGGATTCCACTCGAGTGGGAGAGAGCCT